AGAGTGGGATGTCTGTGAGCTAATGGTATTAGAGGTGCTAATTGGGGAAGCTATCTTGGTAATGGGTAAGATAGTTGAGTGTTTGTTCATTCCTTCTCTGAGAGTGTCGAATTTTAACATGAATGACAGTTCAGAGGATTCCCTTTCAAGTGCAGATGTAAAAGGTCTTTGTAGCAGAATGCAGGTGGTTAAGTCATTGAGAGAGTGTCCTTTCTGGTTAAAATGGCAAGAAACTGTTTTTTCTTTGTGATCCTGTCTAATGTCTGTTTTGTGGGCATTGATTCTTTGGTGAAGTGTCTGAGATGTTTGTCCAATGTACATAGCAGACGGACACTTTCGGCACATGATAGCATAAATTATATTTCTGGATGCGCAGGAATATGTGTTCTTGATCTTATAACTCACTTGGTTAGGTCCAATTATGGTATCAGCAGAGTGAATATGTGGTTCAGCTTTGTGAATATGTGGTTCACCCTCAGAACTGTCATTCATGCTTAAACTTGACACTTTTGTTCTGAAATGTGATTTGTCCTTTTCATATGTGTTCATTTTTTTAATTGTATCCTTTGGTATATATGGTTGTGACTATTTTCTTCCACTATTTGATCTGAGGAAGTGGGTCTGGCCCATGAAAGCTCATCATCTAATAAACCATCTTGTTAGTCTTTAAAGTGCTACATTGTCCTGCATTTTGCTTAAAAAAGGAAAGAATGCCCAGCTAGTTCTAATTCACTAAAAAACTGATTGCAAGCAAATACTTACCCTAAAGAGCTGTTTTTGTTTGAAGTCTTAAGTCAGAGACAAACTCTTATTTATTCTCACTTGTGTCTTGAGCCTTCTTTAGAGTTCTATGGCTGTGTCTACAGTGGCCGCGAGTATTTGCGCAAGGACACTGATGTTCTACTGTATGAAATCAATGCTTCTTCTGCAAATACTCTGACGCGCCTGCTCAGGGATAAATCCTCTTGCACAAGTGTTCTTGCGCCAGAGGCCAGTGTAGACAGGTAACATCAATTTCTTGCGCAAGAAAGCCCGATGGCTAAAATGGCCATCGGAGCTTTCTTGCACAAGAGAGCGTGTACAGTGGCATGCATGCTTTTGCGCAAAAGCAAATCTTTTGTGCAAAGGCACATGCCAGTATAGACACTCTTGCACAAATACTTCAATGCAAAAACTCTTGCGGTAAAAGTATTTGCGCTAAAACTTGCTAGTCTAGACGTAGCCTGTGTATCCAAGCATGCTGGAGTATTTCCCTGGTAAGCCAAAGACAAAAACCTAATAACTTTCCCTTGCTTAAATAATCTTTTCCCGCAGAGTGGGAAGCTTTTGTTCTACATTTCCCCTTCCATGGAAAACTACCTGGTCAAAACGGAATTCCACTATCAGGTGTCTTATTAGTTCAATCACCTTTGAACTTCAGGACAATCAAGGCTGTTTACAAGTCATTATGTTGATTACCCAGTTGTTGAGGCTTCCTGAGCACCATTGATGGCTCTCATTATCACATTTAAAACGATAAACAATTTCCTATATACAAGGATGATACATGCACCAGAATATGATATTCAGATCCAGCAGACTGACATTAAAATTGATTAGGCATATTTATATTCATAAGCCAGATTTCTTAAACCATGGAGGTAACAGTCATAACGATCCCCAGCCCTGCTTCCAGCTCTGTCCCATACAGACCCCAAATAGGAGACACAGCTGTGTGGAAGGGCTGAGGGTGAGGATGGGTGCAATTCAGCTTTGCTGGAGGAGCTGCTGGCATAGGGTCCTCTGGGCAACCCCAAAGGTCTGCTCCTTTAGCTGCTGTGTTTCTCTTAGGCTACGGCTATACTGCTGTTTTTTTCTGGAAGATGATATGCAAATTGCACTCACATTTGCATATCTTCTGATTCTTTTTGCAGAAGAGGTTTTGCCACTATTTGGCCCCGTGTAGATGGGGCCAAATGTTGGAACAAACCCTTCTTTCATGAAACCTTTTAAACCTCAATTTATGAGGAATAAGGGGTCTCGTGAAAGTCCCCGTCCCCCCCCCAACATTTGGCTCCGTGTATACGGGGCCAAACAATGGCAAAACCAAGAATCAGAAGAAGATATGCAAATGTGAGTGCGATTTGTATATCTTCTTCAGAAAAAAACCAGCAGTGTAGCCATAGCCTGAATGTGTCCCTGCTGGCATCTGGGGAAGGGCATGTCATCCTTCTTAGCCCTCCCACGCATCACCTTTGTTCATGTTGGATAGTGCTACTCATAGGAGCAAAGGATCAGAGCCAATAGTATTTCAGATTCCATTAACAAAAAGAATAGCAATAAAAAAAATCTAAACTGAAGATTTTATATCCAGCTTGGCTTTTCTTTAATGGCTTATGATTTTCTTATCTCCACACATAAAGTACATTTTATCCACACTATGAGCTCAGCCTTTAATGGCATTGGAAGGTGCTTTCATAAACCAGAAGTCAGTTCCATTACAAATATTTATTGCACAGTATTCTCATAGTGCCACTACAGTCAGGGAAGCAGAAAATCTTTTCCAAAGTTGTTCTGTTTGAATGTAACATCAAAAATTAATGTTGTAGTAAAGGAAGAGTTCTGCTGAAAGTATAAATTATAAAGTGCATACCCTTGGTGTGAGTAGTAGTTTATCGCTTTAGAATGTTTTTTTCATTCCTTTCAATATTTGTCTATTGTTTATGTATTTCAAATGGTTAATAGTGAATCTTGAATTATGAAGAAATTAATTCTTGTAAATCAAGCTAAAAACAAGTCAATCAATTTCTATTAATTCTAGTGTTGATTGGGAATTTTGATTTAATGGTTTTGCATTAGGAACCCCAGAGTCTCGAAAACTGAAACTGTTTGAAAGATCAGTTTTAGCTAATTTTCAGTTTAAAAAATAGAAAAAACAGTTTTGAAATAGTGATGTCCAGGTTGCCATTTTTGAAACAATGTTTGATTTTTTGGCAGAGGTGAAAACATTTTTTGATAAATTTAAGTTCATTTTTATTTCAATTTTACATTATAAATTAAACATGTTGATTGACATTTTGTCCTGATTTTTTTTTCTTTTCAATTTTGGTTTGCAAAAGTTAAGATTGACTTCTGGGGGGAAATTTTTCTAAATTTCAAAACTTCTTGCAGGACAGAAAACAGTTTCCTACTGAGTTCTAGTTAAATTTAATTTTCTAGTATCTTATTGATACAAGGTTATATAAATAAAATGACTTTTAAATAGATAATATCCTTGCTGAATCATTCCTCTTTGTTTGAGTATAGGGGTGGCTATTTTTTCTTCATCTTTCTTGTGAAGTGTGAATTCAAATCCAATCAAACCTATGATTCGTTGTCAGATTCTTCCTCCAATACATCTTTAATCAAAGATAGTGGGAACTAACTCTACATTTTGAGAAGAAAATGTACCTGTTAGCTCTGATTCAATAAGGTACTTGGCAATATCTAACTTTAAGCATGCGAGTATTTCCTTTATATCCAATGGGACTACTCATGTTTAAAGTTAAGTATGTGCTTAAAAACCTTGCTGAATATAGGCCCTTAGAATTCAGAATGGAAATTTCCTTAAATGTGACTGAACTATTCAGGTCAGAATTTTATCTTATGAAGGTAAATAATTAAGTGGGAAAAGGCTTTGCATTAAAACTAATCAGTAGAGTTTATAATGTCAAGAAGCACGATTAAAATAGAGCAGAGAGGACAAAGACTTGAATAATAGAAATATTTGCAATTACTTATAAAACACTCACCCCAATGTATTGCATTTTAAATTTTAAGTGCCATATAAGACTAATAGTATGGTAAATGCAGTGGCATAAATTTGTATTTTAGAGTGATCCCCTTCACTTGTATGCCATCCAAATCTAAACTTAACAGTGCATGCTTTCAGTTTCCATTTTCAAACTGATTTTTGGTAAACTCTACCTTGAAAAATGTTGAAATAATGTGTTAACGAATATGAAAACTACAATTACAGTGTTCAATACAGTGGTTAAAGAATTAAATCAGGATTATGATGGGTTCATTATGAAAGAATTTAAATCACCTATTTGAGAATATTTTGTTAATATGTATTGTATTTAACCCAATTGAACTGCAGTCAAGTAAAATTAAAATTACTGTGCTGTTTGCAATTATAGCTCCCCATGGGCCATCCTTCACCATTGGAAAAGCAGTGTGGTTGCTCTGGGGCCTGGTGTTTAACAATTCTGTGCCTGTGCAAAATCCAAAAGGGACAACCAGCAAAATCATGGTGTCTGTTTGGGCCTTCTTTGCTGTCATTTTCCTGGCTAGCTACACTGCCAACCTGGCTGCATTTATGATTCAAGAGGAATTCGTTGATCAAGTGACTGGGCTTAGCGATAAAAAGGTATGTGTCCAAGCTCTGAAAAAAGAAACAATCTCCAGCTTCCCATTTATTGTATTCAATTAATCAAAGATATGCTAGATGCTAAAAGTCCCTATCAAGGACTTGCAGTCGCTGCTTTCAGTGAAGCTATGTGGTTTCATATTAAACTTATTTCTTTATTTAAAAATCCAGGCTCAAATAATAAAAACATATTAAACTATTTTTATAGAAGCTTCATATTCTTTTTTTGAAGGAAAAAATATACAATTCAATGAAGTAATCTAAAACTAAGTTGTATGATTCAAACTTACATTCTTTGCGTAGAAGTAGTTGTGTATTATTCCATGGGTATGCATATTCCCAGCTCACTGAAGCCAGAGAATTTTGCCCAGCAGCACTTGTAAAAGTGCACTCATACCCTAGACCAGTGTTTCTCAGCCTTTTTTTATAAAGTACCCCTTTAAAAAAAATTAAGTAACCCCAGTACCTACAGTATTCAGACACAATTTTTTTTCTACCACTGCACCACATTTGTTTAAATAATTTAATCATAGCCGGGTGGGCTGTGAAATTTTCGGGTGTTAAAAGTACAAAAAATAATAAAGTGCTGTAAAACTTAACAAATTCAGTTTTTTCCAAATTTTCAGTAGCCCTGAGGGTACTCGTACCACTGGTTGAGAAACACTGCCCTAGACTGCTAGTTTCCACTCTCGGCTCTATGGGTACTTCTAGACTACAAGCTTTTGTCGACAAAGGCTTTTTCGACAGATACTGTCGACAAAGAGCATCTAGACTACATCCAGTTCTGTCAACAAAGCAAGCCACTTTGTCGACATGAGCATGTAGACACAAAGGACAGTGTAGATGCAATAATGCCTTCTGTTGACAGAACTCTGTCGACAAAAGGCATTATTCCTCGTAGAATGAGGTTTACCGCCGTCGACAAAACTGCCAAGTTCCGTCAACATAATGTCGATAGAACTCGGCAGTAGTGTAGACGCAGGTATAATTTTGTTGACAAAAGGCCACTTTTGTTGACAAAACCCTGTAGTCTAGACACACCCTATAAGCCTAGGGCATTAACACCTCAACCCCCTTTACTTCCTTCTTTCTGCCTATGGCTAGAATTGGAGCTGGTTTTCACCTCACACTTTTGGTTTCTGATTTCTGTGGGGGGTTCTCTGTAGATAAGTTACATAGGTTGAGTTTAAGTACAATAGTTTGCCATGTGTGATACTATTAACAGGGTTCAAGAGCTGTCTGTTGTGTGTGGGGGGGGGACATCCCCACAGTGATCACCATGTGAGGTGCTTGTGTCTCATTGTGAGACTGTAGAGGTCCCTCACTCACAAGAGAGGGAGGCCACACTGCCTCATTATAAGCAGACTTCAAGTAACAGTCATAGGGCAGAGTTCCAGCCCCCTGGTTGGAGTGAAACACAACAGGTTTTAGCCAACCTGGTTGGAGCAAACAATAATTAACAGCTGTGATTAGTAGGCTGTCAGGAAGCTCTAGCTATCTGCGTGGAGCAGAGCCACAGTCTTTAGTCTGCAGCCACTACACAGTTTTTCCTATTATTGGAGCAGACAGTGACAAATAGCCTGTAGATAGGCACTGGCTCTCTCTCAGCGGGCAGAATCACAAATAGGGTTGTGGCCTTTATTCAAGGCAGAGCTGTAGCTGCCTAGGGGCTCAGGCAGGAGGTGATTGCTAAAGTTGTCTAGGGGTTGAGGCAGGGGGTGAACTCCATATAGGCAGGGGGTGAACTCCTAATCTTTGGTGCAATATGGTTGCTATCCCTGCGGTTCAATGGGGACATCTTATCCCCTCCACTGAACTCCAGGGGTGGCAGCTACCCTACAAAATGGGCAGAATGACAGGGATTCCAGCCACAAAATGATGACTCATAGTCCAGCATTAGGACCAGACTAGAGTATGAATCACATCTGGAGTACTGCGTCCATCATTTCATTAAGGATTGGAAAGGGTCCTGCAGAGGTCAACAAGAATGATTAGGGGGCTGGAGCACATGATTTATGAGGAGAGGCTGAGGGATTTGGGCTTATTTAATCTACAGAAGAAAAGAGTGAGGGAGAATTTGATAGCAGCCTTCAGATACCTGAAGGTGGGGGTTCTAAAGAGGAGAGAGGCTGTTCTCAGAAGTAAGATGACAGAACCAGGATCAGTGGTCTGAAGTTGCAATAGGGGAGGTCTAGGTTGACTAACTCCTTTCCAGACTCTGCTCTCCCTCTTACACCTCTCCCCTACATCACAATCCTTTCCCGCACGCATACCCCCCTCCCAGACCTTGTACCCAAAGTCCCTGCTCCAGGTCACAACCCCTTCTTTCACCCACATTCCCTCTCAAATACCACACCTTTGCCTGCACCCCAGTCCAATAACTGAACTCCCATATGCACCCGAGCTCCCATATGCACCCATCTGTGACAGACTGGGTCGGATCTGGGCACTGCTGAGGGTGTCAGCTCAGGGTGAATTGCTCAAAACCAGGGCTGCTTATGGTCCTTGACTAGAGACCTTTCCCAAATGTGCTCTGTGTGACTGGCTTTTGGCTTTCCAGCTGCCAATCTGGCCAGCAAGAAGCCTCATGAGCAAAACCCCTCAGACACCCCAGCTTTCCCTGTGCCACATTTAGCCCCGGCCCTTACACACAGGTGAGGTTATAAAATCCGATCTCACCAACTCCGAACAGATCCTCCCAGTCTCAAAGAACCAGCCACAGTCCCAGGTCAATTTACACTTTAGATCTTACCAACAAGAGCATCAATCGTTTAGAATCTACAATCTAAAGCTTTATTAATAAAAGAAAAAATAGAGAGTATGATTGTTAAGGAGAATGCATTATATACATCAATCACCAAATTCTTGACACTGGCTCTTAGCAGAGATGTTACAAACTGCTAGCTTAAAAGTCTCTAATGTACATCCTGTATTAGGATGGGTCTGCAATCTGTCTTGGCTTTCTGTCCCTAGCAAGGATGCATCTGGAATCAGGAGCAAGATTGAAGACAAGATGGAGATGCCCCCATAGGATTTTTATATTCCTGGTGTCTCCCAAATTGGAGCTGGTCACATGATCAAGTGACCTATTTGTTTCTCACATGCAAGCAGTCATGAGGCACTAGCTAGTTTGCAGGCTTCCAGACACATTCCTCAGATGTGTATTGGCCACTCTGAGAGCCATTGTTCATGAAGCAGTGCTAGTTAGCACAGCCATTCACTGAACTATCATTCCTCACAATAGCTAGTCTAGGCTCATTGCTCCCTCCCAGACAGGCCCATATTCATAACTCCACATACAAACATTATACAAGTATATGAGTAGTATACATAGAATCAGCAGAGCATAAGCTTTCATGGCCCTCACATGACCCACTCTGTACAGAATTTTGGGCAAACACCACCCATGGGTGCAACAGTGATCTGTCTGCTCACTTTAAAATCCAATAATGTGACTTCAGCTTCCATCTCAAACCCCACATCTAGGCTAGAAATGTCCCATTGTCGGGCGGGGAGGCACGCCCCTGACATGGGGTGCGTCCCCCCCTCTAAGGTCCCGTGTTCTGGTCCTGGCCCCTCTAACAGGGCATATATGGTACTAACCATCCCACTACAAAGTCCAGGCCCCTCTATCAGGGCATATATGGTAGTTGAGGCCTAGCTCCTGGAAAAACCTCTCCTTGCTGGGGTGATTGTCCAGGGTGCGGAAAGGGGTGGTAGAGGAACCCGAGCCCTTCCTCTCCACCGGGTCCCAGTCCAGGGCCCTGTAGGCAGGAACTCTTGCTCCTGCCTGCTCGGTGGAGACTCCAGCGGATACACACCAAGCTGTGATAGCAATCCCTTGCTCTGGGCTGCTTCCTACCACCCTGGCACCCCTATGGTCTGTCCGCCTCGGCAGTGGTCCTTGCCGGGGCTGGTGGTGTAGGTGGTCCAGTCCCTCAGGCGGGGTAGACTGCCGGCTTCACTCCCGGAGTCCGATGCTGGCCCTCGCTCTGGCCTCAGCTGCTGCGGGAACACCAGGGTTGCGGCCTGGGCCCTTCTCCCCTCCAGTTGCCTCCTCTTCTGTTGGGCTCCCTCTGCCTTTATATGCTGGGAGTGTGCCCAGCAGGGCTGGAGGGGCGGGGCTCTTTCAGCCAGCTGGGCCTGGGCTACTCCCAGACCTTCAGTGCAGGGCCTGTTCACCCCGTCACACCTATACTTAGCTTTTTATGTTAATAGGGTGTTCAATGTAAGGAAAGCTGGTGTTATAATATGTTAACCAGTTCAAGTGTTTGTTTAGGCCCAAGAAGGTCAATTCCTCACTCTCTCTCTGTTGTTGGCTTGAGAAATTGCTTTGTAGAAGAATGGCTACTTTTGAATCCATTAATGGGTGCCCAGGCAGGTTAAAATGTTCTCTTACAAGTTTCTCTGTGTTACCATTTCTAATATCTGTTGTGTTGTAGAGGCTGTCCAGTTTGGTCAATATACATGGGAGAAGGGCATTGCTGGCACTGGATGGCATCTATCAGTAGTTCCCAACCGTTTTTATACTGTGGACCGGCAAACCCATTCACAAACTGGCCAACCAGTAACAGATTATTTGCATATTCATTATATCTGGATATAATGAATATGCAAATATGTAAAATGCAAATGAAATGTTACCAACCCATTCACCTGCTGATCCACTTACCTGCTGACCCTGTCTTGTCATTGCACATCCTTCTAACTCCAGCCCCAGAACCCTTTGATCCCGTCCAGGAAACCCTGGTACTCTGTGGCTCTGTAACTCCTGTATCCCACGAACCCCATTACTTCATGGCTGTGTCTACATTGGCACCCTTTTCCGTAAAAGGGATGCTAATGAGACACTTAGGAATTGCAAATGCTGCAGGGGATTTAAATATCCCCCACGGCATTTGCATGAACATGGCTGCTGCTTTTTTCCGGCTCGGGGTTTTGCCAGAGAAAAGCACCAGTCTAGACGGGATCTTGCGGAAAATAAACCCTTTTCTGGAAGA